GTTGCTGACGCGTAGTGAAGTGTTTTGAGAGTCATGTGAAGGCAACAGAACTTACGTAGTTACGTAACGCATACGGTTCTTTTTTTATAGCTTTTCATTTCTCGATGCGTCCTTAAAGTGTCGGAATATACTGCGTTTACCCTAGCAAGAAATAGGCTAAATGGCTATAAATAGTTTAAATAGGTAATACTTTAGATTAAGTGCATCCAAGAAAAGGGTGTTTTTTTAATTATATGTTTTTTGGGGTGTTGATAAAGAATCTGAAATCCGTTTTTGGTGGTCGGCAAGACTGCAATGGAAACCCATTACCATTTTTTTCTGATTTTTTATATATTTTCTATAGAAAAACGGCTCTAATTCATCAAAAACAAATCAGCAAAATTGGCAAAAAATTGGGAATAGGGTAAACGCGGTATATTCCGACATCGTAGGTAATTCCGTCACTTCTCTAGTTTTTCCATTATATTAAGCTTTAATTTAGTTCCATGCGTTCATTGATGGTTGAAATGGTGACGTCATACATTTGCGTGTCGAAAAACTGCAAAAACAGTAGGTCTTGGCCATCTAGTGGGAAAATATCGAGATTCAAAGAGAGACAATGCATGCCACCTGGTGACTGGTGAGATCATCGAAAAATGTGTCAAATTTGACAGTTGACCTTGCTCTAGGGTAAACGCGGTATATTCCGACACATTAAGGACGCATCGAGAAATGAAAAACTATAAAAAAAACGTATGCATTACGTAAGTTGTGTTGCCTTCACATGACTCTCGAAACACTTCACTACGCGTCAGCAACGATGAAACATCACAAAATGTTGCCATATTTATTAAAAAGCCTTTAGAATGGAAACCTACCAAATCCCTATATTCCGTCACTTTGTGTGGCAATATTCGACACGTGGTGAGTCGTATTGCGTCAGTGCTTCAAATTTAACTGATACGTATTGCCGACATCCACGTGTCCGAATTCCGTTTGCTGTGTGAGCTGTATTGGGATACAACACGGCTTTGAATTAGAACACTAACGAATATTGAACACTACTTAATTACGTTTTAATTAACAGCTATTAGGCTTTTTATTAAGCAAATTTCAATTTTTGTACAAAGCTTTGAACGATCTGTGTGTGTCCAATTCAAGTTGTGTCAGAATTAGTTTTCATGTGTCTAAATCCAACATCTCAACTTAATCATCTATTAATTTATTTACGACTTGAAATCAGCAAATGCAAGTATACTTAAAGGATTCCTAATATATTCACAGACGTATTTAAAAGTCTCAACGCGAGTTCTGATTGGTTTACATCACTCTCAAAACACCACACTATGCACCAGCAATGATGAAACGTCACAAACTGTTGCTATATTTATTTAAAAGCCTTTAGAATTATAATCTATAAAATTGCTGAATTCCAACACTGTGTGTGACTAAATGCAGCATATTGTGAGAAAAATTCAACAGTGCTTCAAAATCGTAATTCGTAATTCTGACGCCCTGTGTCAGAATATGACATCCTGTCATTCCTGTGTGTCATAATTCCGACACCCTGTGTTGGAATTAGTTTTTACGTGTCTAAAACCGTCTCTTAAATCAATCATCTATTAAGTTATTTACCACTTAAAATCAGCAAATACAAGTTTGATATACTAAAAGGATTCTTAATATATTCACAGACTTGTTTAATAGTCTCAAACCATAATATTCTTTCTACACAAACAGTTTATCACTATTTAGTAAAGCAAGTTATCACTAACAACTAAAATTAAAATTAAAGTTATCACTATCAACTTTCATACGTTGTTTTGTTCTCACTAGGGCTGACTTCGACTTTAGCTCTGAGGATCTTAACATTGTTGCCGGGTGGATGTCTCACGTTGCGGGTGAGGTAACCATGTCACCTACTTTGAGTTTGGTATGGCAACAACCCTTCTATCTAGTATGTTAAAGGCGAATGAAAGACTGGTGTCTTATCTTATGAATTGAAATAAAAATACCGTGACAATGCTTAACAAGAGAATAGCTAATTATTGAGTGGTTGCGGTACGAGTACAGTGTAATGAGTAGACGTGTCTAACTGCGTTCCAGAGTTATGAATTATGACTAGGAATAGGGAAAGGGAGCATGGACAGGGTTACACATATTCCATCATTGATGAACTGAAAAATAAAGAATACAAAAGTCAATAACCTGTCCACTAAATAATAATGCTAAGCCTGAAGGGAAATTGAATGTTAAAACTGATGCAATGAATATTTAAAATAGATTCTTAATTGATAGCAAGCTGGTTGCATGCAGCAAGCAAGAAAATATGAAAAACAAAACAAACAAACATTATACTATTTGGAGTGAAATCAGGAAACAATTGCAAAGATAAGCTATAATCTGAACCAGGATAAACCGCTCAAGTAATTTGTAAAAGTTGTGACGTTATTGAGATAATACACAAAAGCAAAGCATTCAAGAATAAATTGCAAGCAGACTGTTGACATAAGAAATTCAATAAACATTAGATGAAAAGTAAAGCACAAACAAAGCTAATTAATCAGATCAGGAGATAGTAAACTTGTAGGACACTTACAAACATCTTTGGAATTAAAAGATCACACCTAACTAGACTCACCAACAACTTGTGGCAGTTCCACTTAATGGCTTGTCAATTTAGGGATCAGTAACTGCACTTGCATGGTCCTCCAATCATTATATCACAATAATTGTCCAAGTTGCAATAAATAGAATTAGTTTACAGGCTGAAAAGAACAGAAAGAAAACATACATTTAACAATAATTAATAAGTAAACATTAATTCAACAATAATTCATATATAGAGAGCAGATGGTTGGGTGAAAAATATGGTAGAGGCCTCCCGGTAACAACATTTTCCACTAGACCTAGTGTTTTGTGGAAATCTTGCGCACAATAGTATGACATCACAATTTCAACCATCTATGCATGCGTGGAACTAAGACCAAGCTTAACATAAAGGAAAAGGTTGAGGGGTGTCGGAATTACCCACAGTGTTGGAATTTGGTGCGTTTATCTTACTTAGCCTCTTAGGTCAGTTAGGGCTGCTACATTTCTGCAAGCTGCATGATATATTTTACTGAAATGATGCAACTTAAACATTCAAAGTCATATATGTTAGGATGGTTAGATAAATTTTGAAATCTTATAAGGCAATAATTTCGATTTATAAATTATTTTGTTTTTAATAATTGGTTCATGAGAAATATCATACTTGTCAAAGCCGTTGAATTAAACTGGTACAAAAATTATTCTGCCAATGCTTTGTTTGTATACTTTGCCACCCATAGAACTTATGTTGCCAGCCTCCAGGCTCCAAAATCTAAATGACCAAAAGAAATATGTATTTGGCCAACAAAACTATGCTACACAGCTTTCTATCACTATTTGAAAACTTCTTAGTTATTATGTCATATGTGACCATAAAATCCTTAAAATCATAGTATTATATTGTTTTAAATTTTTTTACTGACAACTGGTCAGTCAAGTGTTGTAGACACTAATGGTAACTTATGACAGCTATGTCAGTTATGTGGCATAGATAGTAGGTATAAGATAGCATAGCAAATATTGTTTATAAATCTTTTAGTTGTGATTAATTTTCAGACAGTTTTCAAAGAGCTGCATAATATATTTTACTGAAATGATGAAACTTGAACATTCAAAGTCAAATATGTTACTCATTAGGATCAGGATGGTTAGATGAATTTTGAAATCTTATAATTTATGTTGAAAATATATACTATGTCCAAGCTACAGATAGATTAGTAAAGTCTAAATTTTGGTTTTACGAAATTATTGCATATTCATGGGTTCAATTTTTTTATCATTAATATGTTTCCCTAGTAATGAATATAATATCAACCTTGCTTTTTTTACCTGAAGATAAAAATAGGATCATGGAGAAGAATCAAGCATGGCTTATCCATGTTGCAATGAAAAACAGGTTTTTTCTCTTGGTCTTGTTCTATGTCAAATGCCACACTGGTAAAGTTATTACTCTGTAATAAATCTTTTGACTCCCAAATCACATTTTGTCATTAAATTTAAATAACGAAGATCAACTGTGTTTTTATTACCAATTGTATGTGATATTCATAATTTACTTATCACATATATACTAATGATATGAAATTGAGCTGTAAAATGTCTTTTCATGTCTTGAAAGTTTCATTTAACCCAGCTTTGGTCCAAGCTTACATAATTCTTCTTCCTTATTGTAGATCACAGAATATTGAGTAAGCAACTTGTATTACTAAGTTTATTACTGTCATCTTCAGAGATTTAAAATAAAAATGTATAATGTCAATCAACCAACTTGAGGAAAATTATGCAAATTTTATGACCTGACTACAAAATTGGGCAGAAGACTCCCAAAAGAAGACAAAACTGCAAAAGCCTATTGAGAATTATGTTCACCCTGCTCTTGATGCCTTGACACAGTAACAGATGTGGCATTAGTAATGGTTCTATTACAGGCTGGTTGAGAGGTTCCTAGTTGACAGCTACAAGCATCAGCAGCTATCCACATTTGCCCTCACTCTCTACCGTCACCGCACTACCGTCAAAAACAGGCCTGTGCTTGTAGGTCAGTCACCTGATAGTTTTTCTGCTGAAATATGTCTATTGACAGTATTTAGCTTTAATGGCTTTGTAAATTTCATGTTGCAATTGGTTATTTATTCCTGAAAAAATTATATTGTTTGATAATCATCTGGTGTATCTAAAGGTACTGAATCAATCATCTTTTTTATTACATACCTAAATCTCTACACTCATCCTGTGGGTTTGTTCAAGTCAACCTCAACAGATCACATGATAAACTATTCTCTTGTATGTGGTGATGCAATTTGTGTCTTATTTACTCATGCTCATGTCATGCTACCACCATCAATGACTATTGGTCTAGTAAACCTAGATCTAAAAAAATTATCTGCAAATCATATTGAAAGTGTTGTGGAGGTATGAGTGACTAACAGGATGTTGAATTCTGTTTTTGCCTTGTGCCTGACATAGTATAGTCAGATGGGGTAAGACAGGACCAAAATCACTAACAAGCCTGTAGCATCTATACCAAGAATAACTAAAAACCCTAAACCTATCACAAGGTGTATATATGCAATGGGCTTCTAAGCTACAACTCAGACGTTTTGCATCTAACATAGTTTTCTGTACAGATTAAAAAAAGTGAGCTGGTCCCATCTTACCCCACTGGGGTAAGATGGGACCAGGCATGGGGTAAGACAGGACCAACTGGCAATTCTTATGTTACAAGGTTTTTAATAAAAGTACAAATCTGATATTCAATATTATCAATCTAGAAATACATTATTTGATTAAACAACCATTTGTTACTGTTTTGTGTTGCAGGAAGTCAACTCTAATATCAGTCACATTGGAGTTTTTGTAATGAGAAAACTTTCTTAAGCATAGTAATAGTGGGTTGGCTTTGGTTCATTGTAGAGCACTGCTAAATGCTTCATGTATATTCCATTAGTGTCATTGTCTGAAAATTTATCAAATTGGTAATAAAACCAATGGATAATAACTTAAGTGTCAGACGTCATGTGTTTTCTTACTAACTGCATTTGTGGTGCACTTCTTCAAACATAGCTCATGCCCTCTCTCAGAGTTGTGATCATAATTATTTTTCATGTTGCACACAATAATTTTTCCCCCTGCCAATCTTGCATATACTAGTTCTGCAGCTCACTAATGGGAAGAGACATCCCTATTTTCTATATCCCTTTGATGCAATTTAAAATAGTGCACTAAATTTCTTTAATTAATAAAGCTAACAAGTTATAATGAAGTTTGAGCAAAAGATAAAAATTTTGACCAAAATACTCCATGTACTACACAATAATATATTCATTTAAAAACTATTTTTGATAAACTGTAGGGTAATATAGGACCATTTGTGGGGTAAGACAGGACCATTTGTAGGGTAAGATAGGACCACTTGTGGGGTAAAACAGGATCATTTAGTGGTCCCGTCTTACCCCACGTCTGGTCCTTTTTTTCCCCATTTTAGAATAGATGTCAGGCAGTGATGGTAGCAGGTAGGAATGCCTAGTATATCTCAAAAGTTGCCTATTACTTAAGGTTACCTGCCTACACCCACAAACTTGGCCAAAAAATTTTTTGTCATTAGACAGAGCTTATTTCCCAAACAGGGTTAACTATTTTGTGACCCTTCTTTAGATAGGTTTTCTTTAAAAATTAGCCAGAAATTCATTATTTGCAGAAGAGGGTTGAAACAAACACTGAAATGACAGGCAATGATTGCTCTAACATATTCTTCTATCAAATTAAATTCAGTGCAATTAGAATGCATGCCATGGGCTGGTCCTTTCTTACCCTATGAAGCCTGCAATCCTGTCTTACCCCATTTGACTATATCCCTGCTTACAATTCCTTTTCTTGCTGTGAGCAAGGTCCTGTTCATGAGGTCACTACAATTGATCCTATAAACCAGCTGAGCCCTTTTATTCATTGCAGTTTATGCTGATTTATCATTTTTATGACAAATCAACATCCTAATGGTGCAATGTTGTTTAAAATGAGAACACCTGCTTCAAACAACTCCATTGCTATCACATTATTTTTGGCATCTCCTGCCATTTATCAATGTAATCTTGCAGCTGAGTTGCTCTAACAGCACCAATCATGCACAATTGTATAGGTACTGTATAGCAGTGTTTCCCAAAGTGGGTGATATCCCAAAGTGTGTGTAATTGAAAGATCTGTGGGGGCCTTTGGAAAGATCTGTGTTTAACCTTTCTCATTTAAAAATTGCAGCATACTAAATATCAAGAGAGAGGCATTTGTTTTTATATGTGTCTGTCGGCGGGGGGGCACTATAGATTCACTGGGGAGCCAAGGGGGGCGCCAGCCTGAAAAAGTTTGGGAACCACTGCTGTATAGAAAACGTTTAAGCAGTACCTATGCTACTGAAAAAATGATAAAATTAAAAGTTAAAACGGAATAATATCTCCTTAAATATTTTTATTCACTAATAGGTAGTACCTATCAGGCTATCTGAGACAATTATTTTTATTAAAGTGTCTCGAATATTCTTATTATGTCTATTAATTTTTACATTCTACAATTGTTAGAATTATCTGTGGAATGTTGAGATTTTCCATTTAGGATTTTATTTATTTGTGCAAGATTTTCATGGAAGGATATTATAACTGTAAATGATTGATCTCTCAGGTTTCCACACATGTTCAAGTTATTTTTTATATTCAAATTTATCTTCTTTTTCAGAGTTCACTGTTATTTGCTCTTATCAGTTGATTATGTAAAAAAAATTCATCTGAAATCCCAATTTTTCCTCAGACTTCTGGGACACGGCAGGCCAGGAAAGGTTCCAGACGCTGCATGCCTCATACTACCACCAGGCCCACGCTGCCATCCTTGTGTTTGATGGCACCAGGAAAGTAAGATGAGTTCTTACTGTTGTAAACTTCAGCATAGCCTTAATATGTTCACTTGATTTATCCTCACTATCATAAACTTTCATTAACATTTCCCATCCTGCTCTAGCTTTGTTTAGGACTAAATTATTAGTGCTCTTTAAAATGCTTCACATTGATTGTTTGCTGCAGTTATTGTTCTCTGCAGCAATGCAGTTATAAAAATTGTCAATAAAGCACTAAATTCACTGCTATAGGAGGATAAATTCTCACATTTTCTAGTATATGAAAGCTTTGGTATACAACAAATGACAGTTTTGTGAAAATAAAAATTATCCATTCTTTGGTGCTGCTGCTCAACATTAAGCTTACACTGTCATTAGATTGTATCAACATTTATTGTGTTTCATGACGTTGGCCCAGACAGTGCATAATGAATGAATGTTTTTTTCAAAGATTTATATACTTGATGATCCGTAGGAATAAGAGCAAATAATACCTACTCTATCTTTAGTGTATATTACTGATTATTAATCTGAGAATAATGAATGATATTCATCAATAATAACACATATAATTTGCTGAACTTTTTCATTGATCAGTGTTTTGAGCTGTAGTTCAAATTTCATGATCTGACAAGTTCATTTCTACCAAATTTTCTAATCTGTTACATTTTTTGTTCCTTCTTAACATTTATCAAAATTTATTTTCAAATGTGCAAGTATTAGTATAGGCACTTTTAAAATATACACCTGATCTATTTTCATGTTCAGGTAACCTACAAGAACCTGGCTACCTGGTATACTGAACTGCGGCAGCATCGGCCGGAGATACCTTGTCTGTGCGCTGTCAACAAAATAGATGGTGAGCTGTCAGCTGGTAACAGAGTAGATGGTGAGCTCTGTCAGCTGGTAACAGAGTAGATGGTGTGCTCTGTCAGCTGGTAACAGAGTACTGTAAAATGGGGTAACTTTGACCACTTTTTTTTCAAAATGATGCCATTTTTTTACTAGATAAGTTAAACTTAAATTGAAACATGCAAAATACAGGTCTATACTCTAGCTTTACTCACCATAAATTGCTGACTCCTACTGGTAACAGAGTAGATGGTGAGCTCTGTCAGCTGGTAACAGAGTAGATGGTGAGCTCTGTCATCTGTCAACAAAAGCCGACGTAGGTATCTGTGTACCGCCAATATCTGTGCAACAAGTGTATCATTGTAGCAACACAATATCGCTATTGACCACTTCATTCAGCCATTATTTACGTCACATTGCTATAGCTGACTGAGCAGTTCATGAGCAGAGAACGGGGGGCTGGGAGGCAAGACGTTCGGATTCCCCCAGCAGCACGGACTACCGCTCTACTACGTCTCCGCCGCCGCCGGCACTAACGTCGTCAAGGTGCGTCGTGGGGACTGTGTGTGTCTGCGTCCTCGTCGCCGTGTATACCTTATATGTGGCCGCTTGGGGTGTGCGTGTCGCCGTGTAGGTATGTGGGCGCTTGGGGTGTGCGTGTCGCTATGCGGTGTGCGTGTCGCTGTGCGGTGTGCGTGTCGCTGTGTGGTGTGCGTGTCGCCGTGTGGTGTGCGTGTCGCCGTGTGGTGTGCGTGTCGCCGTGTGGTGTGCGTGTCGCCGTGTGGTGCGCTGTATCGTCAACGGTGGGGGAGGCACTGTTGGCAAAAGAATAGGGCTGGGGGCTGGGCACGGATGATACCGGTCTGTTGTGTAAAGTCGCTCATCACCCCAAAACATTCACCATTTATTTACATGGCACAATTGCCAGTCACTCTTAACATCTTGCCAAACTCTCGCTGCATCTTGGGTCTGGCAGTCAGCATCGCTGGAAAGGAATTCTCTTACTATGGAAAGAATGTAGTTGTATTATCGCTTAATGATTAGCAGTTGGACATAAGGCGGCGCGCAGCGTGGCCTGGGAAAATAATAAAAAAAATATGGAAAAAGAAAATTATCATCTGACAATGATCACATGCAAAATTATCACAAGACGCAGGGATCTTCACATTGAAATTTAACTGGACAAAGATGTTTACAATTGAAGCTTCTTCTTTCCTTTGGTATTGCATCTACTTTCGTTATACCTACGCTCTTGAAGCGGACGGGATGCATGCTGCCGATATTCTTTTCTCTTCATGTATTTCAATGTTCATTCGTCCTTTCTTGACTAATTCTATTATGTATTTTTTCTGTTACCTATTATTTTACTTTTATTAAACTGCTACTCTGTTATTTTGGTCTACTGTTACATTTTCTCTACGTGATTAGTATTATTGTACGTGTATTTACTGCTGAGTTTTCCATGCCCTCAGTTATTCGAGGACGCGATCAAGGCTGCGTACGAGTACAAGATCAACCCCACGGACCTGTCTGACCAGATCATGGAGGAGTTGGAGCTACACCCTCACCAGGATCCCCAGGATCAAGATCTCCACCAGGATAGTGATGGGGACCAGAATGTCGGAATAACCACCGATAAATCCGGCGGTGTTGACGCCACAGACTCGCCGGCGTCATGATGATCCCAGCACTGCATGGCTGCCATCTACCGCAGCCTGTGGACGAGTCATCTTCTCTCGGGATGCAATATCGTGATTTTTTCGGTGTGATCTCTTCTTGGGATGTTATCTCGTGTTATTGTGTGATATCTGTGTACTTTTCCCCGTGTGATCATCGCAAGCGTGACGTTATTTGTTTAGCAAGTATCTTTTATCCACTAATCTGTTTTGGACTCACCTTGTTAGCTGGGACTCGTGCCTGTAGCCCCCTCTTCCACACCCCTCGCTCCCGGGGGCCGTGAGTGAGAGGTCACTGGATGCCCCCATCTTAACATTGAATTGCTTGCTCACCATTTGCAACCCTTGTTGGTGCCCTCATCCTCGATGATTAATAATAATATAAATGTGTGAGGGAATGTTCATTAACGATGCGTTATGTGGACCACCGTCTTGGAGCACAACTTATGCGTCGATACAATCCAAGTGTAAGCCTAATCTTGAGCTGCAGCACCAAACTGACGAAGTCCTGATAGCTCTGGAATTCGTTGGTATTTAATTCAGAATTTTAATTACCATTCTTCATTCAGCCACATCTAGAATACCTAATCGCAATTCTGCATATCTAACTGTATCTGATCACCTAGTATCATTAAAAGTTGAGCTTACGCATTCCTTACAGTGTAAAATGTTAGAACACAGATCACACCATAGGCCTATATGCCGTCCGACCAATGTCTATTGGGACCAACTCTAGTCATGTACCTAGTCACGAGCCTAGTTATTATTTATGTATTTAATAACTAGTTAAGTCGTTATAAGTTTACTCAAACTCCTAGATAATATTTAGATTAGTAGTTTTTCTCATACAGTCGATGTTGTTGGGAACCTTGCGCCATCTATTGCCTTGTTTTCTTTCTAAGCAACTGGTCACTCCACGTCTTTTGTTCACAACATATTATTATCATGTGGTTAGTTTATGACTTTTGCATGATATAATGCAGCAAAATTCACTTTGTAATTATGATTTTAAATAAAGCTTTTATTCAGCTGTAGAGATGTATTGTGCTCAAGTAACTACAAAGTACGTTTTCTTTCCATATATCATTTCAGTTACTCATCTTCTATTAATTCTAGACAAATTTCATCGATGAAAATATGCACATCTGATTTCAACAACCGGTCAAGAAATTTTTGATTTTGTGAAGATTAGCTCAATAAAAGCTTTCGCAATGCGTCGCATATAGAAACAATTTCTTTGTATTGACGTCATTTATATTGTTAATGTTATTGCGCCAGTTTATGTTCTCAGTGTCAAGTGTTTGCTCACCGACGATAGTAATTATTGTTGCACACCATAAAACAACGAATTAACAGTTATTCTATATTCTTTTCTTATTCCTAAATATGATGTTGACTTTTGGGGTGAGGAAGATGGTTCTTAACCTGAATCTACAATGAAATCCTGTGTAAATGTTGACAAAATTCCTCAAGTCTGTATTTTTTGATGCTGCTTAAATGAGATTCATTCATGTATAAAATGAATTATTTGTTAGTCGAGTTAATTTATCTAATTAGGCTTGTTGTTCGTTAAAGTGGCATAGGGTTTTTGGACCGCGCTAATCTTATGGGCCGCAAAATCAGTTTACAGAATATAAAATTTCTGATCGGCGCCGTTTGGCTCACAATTGAGTCAATGGTGTCAATGTCGGTCCTGCAGCCTGCACGAGTCGTCTATCTAGCGCCATCAAAACTACATCGTAAATAGTAAGACTCGGTCAGAATTTTGTAATGGGTAATGCGATGTTTCAATGTTGAAAGTTATCTTGTTTAATTAATTTTGAGGATATGTAAGATGATAATTCCACGGCTACATGCAGATTTGGGAAAAAAAATCCAGTTTAAGCCTTTGAGTTTATTGAGTTTATTTGAGTTACCGCGAAGGAAAAATTATGCTGACTTCTAACAAATTGCGTTAGTTTATTAAATTGATAAAAAGAACTTGGTCTATCGGATCTTAGATGCATTGTGCAAAATATATTGTGAATGTGAAAGTTAATTGCAACTGCTATATTTATAGTCTTGCTAGCCATCAACGACCCAAGAGTGGTCCGGTTGCGCTCCTATAAACAAACACGTGGCGAACATGAGATCCAGCTGATGTGCCGGAGCTTCGGGTGATTCCGTAATTTCAGGCGCTGGAGGAGCAACAGAATATCACTATAAGTCACTGGTAAAATGTAAAATACAGCCTTGCGCGACCGTTCTGGTTCAAAATTTCAACGCTTGATTCTCGTAAAGTAACAGTGTAGTAATTATTATATATATAATTATAACGTGCAATGTGGAGTGATGTAATGAAGTGAATCCATTACTTTTTCACTGTAGGTAAATCTCCACTCCATACTTTACACAAACTGTACTCTCCTATAGTGCTTCAAACATTAATGACTGTTAGTAATGGTTTTTGCGGTTTCAGCGTTTGTTAGCCTTTTAGGCAGGTCGACCTGTCGCTGTTTCTCGACACTACAGATTTTTTACGGATTGTTGCGGTCTCGAACACGCAACTCACTGCTCCATTATTGCTGTGCTTAACCGTTCGGCATCCTGACCGATTCTGACCAGAAACTGGAGCTCAATTGCTGAGTGTCACTTTACATTAAATAAGATTGATTATTACATAACTCTGAACTCTCATCATTGCATATGTGAAGAGATAAAAGTGTTGAACCGCCAAAACCTGATGAGATCGTACAACGTATTCAATGCTGCTCTAAGCCCCATGGAAGCGAGTTTCAGGTACTTACATGGAGTGCCGAGTGGTGATTTCAATTTAATAAGAGAAGTATTTACTTTAATTCATCACTTCGCACTTGCTGTGTTAGATACTTTAGTAGGCATGAGTGTTTCCACTCCTAAATCTGGGCGGGTGGCCCAGTGGTTACAGTTTAGAATACTTGGATTGGAGCAGAGAGGTACGGGCATTTATTAACACAGAATACAATAAACAGATATCGAGAACTTGCTAGTTAGATGCTACCTTCTGGCAGAGGCAGACTGGGTCCAGATGGGTCCGATCCCAGCTCTGTGCGCCAGTTTATGGTCGGAATCGACGAGAAGGCCGGGCGGTTAAGCACAGCAGAATTGAAGCTGCGAGTTCGAGACCGCAACAAGATGTGAATGTTCTGCTATGTTAAGAAACGGTGACATGCCCACGGTCTAATAAACGCTGAGACCGCAATATTATATATCTGTTTTGTCCTATTCTGAACGCAATAAGTCAGTAATATATTTTTATTTTATAGCACAGACTACAGATTTTCAAATTACCAGTGATTCGTTATGACTAGGTAGTTCAACCATGACTCTGCACTGTCTTCATTACACACAATGGGAGATATACGAGTGTGCTTTACACATTCAAAATCACGCACGACAGCAACCAGTGCTCACTAGGAGTTAAGTATTGGTATTAAATTCAAATGGTAAATAATATGCTTACTTCAACTTTCTCATTTATATTCTGCACAAATTTCCATTCGTTTGGAAAAATTCGATTATCTAAAACGTGAAATTGCTATATGATCGCTACTCGTAACATTTGCGGAATTTGCCCTGCCGCGGCATCCTAATGATCACTTGTTCGGCTTCTTCTAAGTTCTAAGTATCGGGTCGCCTGCCGAAGACCACCACTGCCCTGGATGTAATGGACCATCATGATTCCTGCCCTCCGGAACGTAGCCTTCAACACTTCAAGCCGTCCGTATCTAGGCCGTGGGTCGAACCAGCCCTCGGGCGAACGGCCAATTGTCGAGGGCGATAAATTTTGGAACAAAACATAAATGGATGTCCAGAGAGATCCATGGCGTTCGATTCAGGGCTTATTGATGTACAAAACTGGTGGTGCACGGCTGCGCTCCCCTAAGCATCCATCAAGTGCGTGCAGCCGTAGACCAGCAAAATCACTCTCAAATCAGCCTTGGAGGCTGGAGCCAACATCAACCTTCTAAATGCTGTAGATTTTTTCATCCTGGCACCTAAGCAGCTGTACTCAATTAACCTGTCTCACCACACGAACTTAAAACCAATGATTCAGCTCACAAGCTGCTACTCTAAATGGTTTATGATGGTTAATGTTCAATCTCAATGGGTAACACTTATACTCCGTTCTTCAATGATTTTTAACCCATACCATCACTTCTTACACATTTTTCCTGCGACAATTTGGTAGGGTAAATGCGGTATATTCCAACATCGTGGGTAATTACGTCACCTCTCTAGTTTTTCCTTTATATTAAGCTTTGTTTTAGTTTCATCACTTCCATGCACGGTTGAAATGGTGACGTCATACATTTGCCTGTCAAACTACTGCCAAAACACTAGGTATTGGCCAATGGCCATCTAGCAGGAAAATATTGAGATCCAAAGAGAGACAATGCACGCTACTCAGTGAGATCATCAAAAAATGTGTCAAATTTGACAGTTGACCTTGCTCTACTAAATAGTGAATAACTGTTTGTCACTAAGTTTGTGTAGGAAGAATATTATGGTTATCATAGTGGCAAACCAGAGCTTTTTTGGAATCAGTTCATTTTTCATTTCCTCAATAACTCAAGATTTATACCAATTTCTTATGTTTGATAATGCAGGTATCAAGGATACTTTACCGGTCTACATTATTATGACTACATGTAGAACTCAAAAATGAACTTGAAAGAGAGTCTAAAAAACTTCCTGCTTTGCCACTATGTAATATGGTTTGAGACTTTTAAATACATCTGTGAATATATTAGGAATCCTTTAAGTATACTTGTATTCGCTGATTTCAAGTGGTAAATAAATTAATAGATGATTAAGTTGAGAAATGGATTTAGACACATGAAAACTAATTCCGTCACCACTTGAATTGGACACACACAGATCGTTCCAAGCTATGTACAAAAATTAAAATTTGCCTAATTATAAGCTTAATAGTTGTTAATTAAAAGTGTAATTAAGTAGTGTTCAATATTCATTAGTGACTAGTGTTCTAATTCAAAGCCGTGTTGTATTCCAATACAGCTCACACAGCGAACGGAATTCGAACACGAGGAAGATGGCATTACGCATAGTGGCAATGCAGAGAGTTTTTTAGACTCTCCCTCAAGTTCATTTTTGAGTCTTATATGTAGACCAGTAAAGTATCCTGGATACCAGCATTATCATACTTGAGAAATTGGTTTGAATCTTGAGTAAATGAGAAAATTAAAAATGAACTGATTCTAAAAAAGCTCTGGTTTGCCACTATGGCATTACGTATCAGTAGAATTTGAAGCGCGGATGGAATATGCCTCACCACATGCCAAATATTGCCACACACAGTGTCGGAATATAGGGATTTGGTAGGTTTGCATTCTAAAGGCTTTTAAATAAATATGGCAACATTTTGTGACGTTTCATTGTTGCTGGCGCGTAGTACGGTGTTTTGCGAGTCACATAAAGCAAACAGAACTTGAGTACGGTAACGCATACGGTTATTTTTTTATAGTTTTTCATTTCTCGATGCGTCCTTAATGTGTCGGAATATACCGCGTTTACCCTAACTGAACTGGGTAGGGTGACAATACTTCAGTCTGTGACGCGCCTCATCTTGAACTACCGTAAGCAAGTAAATTTGTGGGGTTAAATAAACAGATATGGAGATTGGAGAACCTGCTAGCCTAGTTACTAGTTAGATGCTGACTTCTCCTTTTGGCAGATGCTGACTTCTGGCAGAGGCAGACTGGCAGCAGATAAGTGAGAAGAGCTAACAAGAAGTTCTTTGTGTATTCAGTCTTTCAGAGCAGGGTAATAAAGTTGTAGTTTTATTTACAGCTTCAGTCACAAAATGAACTTGGGGACTTACAGGTCTGCACTTTTTGGACCCCAAAACACAAAAAAATCCTTGCCAAAATATTCAATTGGAGATCGAGCAATTTTAGACAAGAAAGTTCACAGCAATCCTAAGTTCAGCCAAGTCCCTTCTCGCACTGACACCGGCTACAACCTCAGGAAGAAGCAACAACTTCAAGAAGAAATACAGAAGTATTATAAGGTCTGGTCCCAGACTCCTAGTCCTAGTCTCTTACTGTCTCTAGAATTTCCATATTAATACTTATATATTTTGGTATGCATACTGCATAGTAAGCAATATTACCACTTTATTGATAAAAAAGGGAAAGTTTTTCAAACAAATATTTGCGCAGATAATATACAATTTACTGAAGAAATTGTCAGTAAGAAATTTGTGGTTTTAACTCCTTTTGATGGTTTAAACTTCAAAGCAGGTGTTCTCTTGCTAATGCCATAATGGATCACGGATGTGAGACACTATCATTAAGGTTACCTTACCAAGTTACCAATCAGGTCTAATCTGCATGAACTTTTTTTCTTGATTGTTGGACCAGACGATGGTGATTAAAATAGTTTTCTTGTGCCATTTAAAATGTAACTTTGTAAGTGATGTTGCTAGTCTGCTAAATTTTATACCAATGACAAAACAAGTATAAAATTAGGTATTTGAAGCTATATCTTCTATTTAAATCTTCTAAAATGGTAAATTTAATATATAATATATTCTTCATCCAGTTCATGTCCTTTACTTCTTATGTTTAATTAAAGCTTGCTGAATAGTAGCCTAGTAGGAATATAGAGGATTATGTATATTGTTGATCAAAAATTAGACTTCATATCATTGATCTTCATACTGGAAGATATGGGCTGCTACATTGGTAAAAATTCTCATGAATAAACAATAAAGAGGATAAATGGAGATAAAATTAACAATATTAAAATAAATCAGCCAAACTACATATAAAGTTTTACTTGAAGAACCTGTGCAATTTGGGGCATCACCAAATTTGGAGTGCTCCCTCCAAAGCTCCAAGTAACTTGTAATACAACTGTCATTATAAACTGACTTTGATCCAGTACCATGAATCATAATATCAAATATTTGAATGACTCTTTAGTAATAGTTTATGAAGTCCATCACAATTTTATTGATAAAATAAAATTATTATCCCTTACATCATACAAAATAATTTATGAAGCATGATTCCCTCAATTTGAGTGATGTAGCAATTATCATCCATGCTACAGCATCCTATGTGCAATGAAATTTTGTTATTTTGTAAAAATATCATTTGTCTTTGTGCAGGTGACTAAGGATGAGGTGTTCTCACGCATCTCCCTACTGCAGCTACTGCGCCTCATGCTTGCCCAGCCTGCACCAGCAGCACCTGAACACATTCAGCAGACAGACACAGTAAATACATCCACCAGCCTGCATGAGTTGAGTATTTTACTGCAAACATGTGGTGCACTGACTTATTTATGCATTAATTATGTCATGAATTTACTTACATCTGTATCTGAGAGGTGATGACATGACAAAAAAAGCTTGGTAGTTATATTTTATGCATCTTATATTTATCTAGGTATTGTACTAAAAAAATCATTCTCTTCCTATTATTCTCATTATTATAATTATGTCTATAAGATAAAACACAAGTGATTGAGCTGACGAAAAGACTACCCTGTGCCAGTAAAACAGCTGTTGGTTTTTCCCATGTTTATAAGTATTTATTTAACTACCGTACAATAGTCATATTGGATACAATGATGTAAAATGTAGGTGGCTGAGCAACCTGATATGGTGCAGACAGCCGAGACGACCACCGCGGCACCTGCATACCTCCTAGTGGACGTACGTGAGGCGACCGCGTACAGCACCAGCCACCTGATCACAGCCATAAACCACCCGTCATGTCGGCTGGGCCGTTCCATCAACTGGGAGTGCAGGGAGCTGCTGCAGTACCGCAACCACCCTGACCACATCATCATTGTGTACGACTATGCTGAGGACCTTGCCCCTGAGTATGCAGCCACCCTGGTGCACCGTGGATACGTCAATGTCTTCCTTCTAAGTGGTGGACTGCGACTGGCACAAGACAAATTCTCCTATCCTCTTGTGGTGACCAAAGCTGAGGCTAGGGCTCGTGCTGCAGAGATGCCAACATCTCATATGGACACATCGATGGTCGAAGGAGAAACATCTAGAATGAATTTAATAGCTTCTGGTAAGGATATGAACAAGGATGATGAGGTTGAAGGTACATCCAGCATATGCTTGTTTAACTTGCGCAACGAGCGTCTTCCGGAGGATGTCATTACAAACCTCGCCGCCCAGCTGGCCACGGTCTACGTGCCGCCCCTCACCCTGGGTGAGGGATCATCCTCGTGGGGCTCGGCCCCTTCAACAAGTCGCACTGCTGGTGGGCGGCGACCCAATGTGCCCTCACTTCGACCTGCAGGTCGTGGTTTGTCCAAGTCGAGGGTCTAGCCATCTACTGTTCTGGGTGTAGCCTCCTTCGCTTGTTTGTTTCCAGCTGCAACTTGGTTTGAGGCCAAGCTGACGCCTCTGATTTTTATTTCATTTAACTTATCACTTGCTAGCTCGAACTATCTAGGTTGTTTATTCCGACAAGTAGAAAAACATTGAAATCCTAATTCCAATGCTACGCCTGTGTTTGCACATGTACGACGCCTAATGCAAATGTTGATGAAGTAAAGTATAGGGCTGCGATAACTTTTAGCCAACGTGACTATCTTATTAGTTATGAATTATTTCCATACTGCAAAGTATGAATTATTACTTTATCTTAGTATTCACGTAGAAAGTCTTACAAAGTTTTATCTTATTGTGTGTTCAGTTGTATTTTTACCTGTATATCCTTTAGCTTTTGTTAACTCTCTAGAATCTAGATCATTGGGGAGCTTGCTCCCAGCATTAGTACTTAAAAACAGTACATCTTCATCTTGACTTCGTCTCGAGACTCAATTTTTTACCGTTTTTGTTGTGTAGAATGTCTTCAGTACCGTAGCGGCTTCCAAAAGCAAAATTTAAAAAGTAAGTTTTTTTGTGTGTAGCGTGTAGCGGCTGTGAAGAACATCAGATCCGTCCATTCCTCCTGGAAAGCTTTTAATATTAAGGTCGAAGTGTAAGGTTAACGCCTCATGCTCAGTGGCTTCTTGCAATCATTGAACTAGAAGTGACTCTGCTTGAACCTCACATTAGTGGAGGATCAATTATGAGTCGCGAGATAGTGTTTAAAGTAAGGCACGTTCTAGTCATACTAATAAGGCTACAAGAATCGTAGAGGCAGTCATGAAAAAACAGCCGACAAATTCTTATCATTCACTTCGCCATCTCCCGTGAATCAAGTCTTTCTAATAAGACAACCGCCTGCACAAATGAAGTTATTCAGGATGTAGTGCAAGTAAGTCTCACGAATTAATTTCAAAGTTAACAAGTTTAGCATCATATGACGAAGCTTCTGACTTTCTCCATTTATGTATAGAATAAGCTGCAAATCTTTTGCTATGATAGATCGTTTGCATTCGTCACGGCTTGCTGATTTGAAACATCGGTTAGTTTGAGCGCGTCAGCCGGCCCTTCGACTTGCAATGCCGCGGTATAGTGTACAGTTATCGAAGGAATTAATCCATACCCAAATATGCTCCTGAAGTGCGACTATAACCGAGCCATGACACTGTTCCAGTATTTCTAATCTCTATTCTGTTGTGCGACGGAAGATTTCTTATAGTAATATTTTCTTTTTTGAATCTACGTGATAACTGTTGTTATCAATACTTCGTTGGCAGCTTTACTACGCTGTAAACTAAGATTTCCAGCATTCTTAATAATGCAGATGTTTTAATTATATATAGTCATCAGTATATATCTTAAGATTTAGTTGAATAGGAGCTTGGCATTTACCCTCACTGCTCTTGAAGACCATGCAGAAGAGATGGTCAGTAGTCACATAGAGGCCACAATGGCGCGCCTAGGGGCGTCATGAGGTCACAACTCAGGTTATCTTCATCGCTTGTGACGTCGACAGCGGCATTTTTATTTACCAAAGAGCACGTATAATGAATTAATAAATGGAGAAACTTTCACTCAGGTATGATTATCCATGCAGCATTACTTGAATTTTTATGTCATGGTTTCTTCTAATGCCCAAGAAAAGTATTAATAAACAAGGAGCTGAACATGGTAGATAACATGATGAAACTATTTGGTAACGTCATAAAAGCGAGAAAGAAACGAAAAAAAGGTAGATAACCAAACTCCGGATAGAGCTTTTATTCCATGTCAAAATAGTAGCTGGCATGAGAAGAATATATTTCTCAAGAACTGAACGCCTTTTGTTTTCGAATGCATCGCATCTTCGTAATCACGGTATTCTGGTGATAATCATAGATGACATCTCGTACGTCAATGCAGATTTTTTTACGAAATTTTTTACTGAACTTCAAAATTCCCTTTGGTTGAACGTTAACAAGACCTGTTCTACGTTCGTAGCGATGCATCGCTCGCCGCCCACATCTCGTCGTAGACGGTGCCACGTAGACGCCATCCAGTTATTCCAGTCTAAATTAACGCCGTTATCCATCACGCAGCGCCTGTCGGGCTTGAATTTGTTTATAACAGCAAGTAGCTGAGCAAATTATTCATTTTACTGCATGAATTAAGAATTAGATTCTTGTCTAAAATGCCTAGCCCTCGTAAAGATCACGTCGACTGAGTAAGTGTTAGGAGGCGGGTCCTCGCGATTCTTCGGGCTGATGGTTCAACCTTATCAGCCTATCTCCATCACTAATCTCGTGCAACTCTTAACAAAGGCTAAATGTGATAGTAAACAGCTGTTAGTCACTACTTGTTATTGGAGCGTGATGGTTGTTTTTTTTTGTGCTGAGTTTATTATTTTTTTTTTGTGCTGAAGAAGCAGAAATCCAAGTTCCTCAAGCAATACTCGTCTGAAGATTTAGATTACGAATTCGACGCATCTAAGCATTATTCTCACTGTCATGCTTAGTTGTGGAGTAGAATTTAATTATGTAACTTCTCGTGACTAGATGGCAGCAGACATGAGTGAAGTTCGTGACGTGCCTGTGAAAATCTCTGATACAACACAGGAGAAATTATAGATTTTTCCAGTATCGTGCCTTTTCCACTGCGGTGTACAAGTTGAGGTCCTGAACAACGTAGTGCCTAAGTACAGCACAGAAAATTGGCTCTGTTTAGTGATGACCCGCACTTTCACAACGCTTTTAAAACAGTGACGTTTTCTTTGAGAGCAAAATATTTTTGAGATCTAACAGTCATTATTGTGAAATTCATAGGGTTCATCTTTTTTGTGAGAATGCAGTTTCTTCTGACCGGTGTTCTTGAGATGAATTTATTGTCGATGGTGTCGCACCCGTCATGGCGTCGACAATTCTGTCCCGCGTAAAGATGGGGAATGGGTAAATAAACAGATTTTTGGGTTCTTGATGGCTGGGCTCAGAGCCAATATGCAGCATGTTCAGCTAGTTTACTGAAACCGATGGAAAAATCTGACATATGTTTGATGGTATTTTTCTACAACTGCGGTAACTGTCGACATTAGATTGACGAAACTCGGAATAGAAAGAAGTCCAGCTTGTGCACATAGGAGCTCTTCTAGGCTCCGGAGAACGATTGGCATATTTCTACCATTATTTTCACAGTTGCAGTAACTTTGCGGCAATTGTTCTACTAATATTATTTGAAATCAAACGCATGATAATTCCGCAATTACAGGATTACAATTTGATTGTGTTTTCAATCCTGGACCGCCTTCTCGTGCATTTTCAATTAGAGCCTTGTGTGCTGATAAGCCTGTTTGGCTAGTGTATGTGTACTGTGCAGGCTATACTCGTTATAGGCTAGACATTTCTGCCTGCAAGATAACCTGCCCTCTAGCTCAGCCTAACTTGTAACCTAACCTGCTTTTATCCTATTTTAACTTGCCCCATAGCTCAACCTTACCTTTAACATAATCCGCCCTTTAACCTTACCCGCGCTTTAGCTTGGCTTGCTCCTAGCTAGATGGAAACATCGCCGTGAGAGGAACCGATCAAGATGATGGAAGCAGACGAGGGGGGCATAAACCCTTCAGCGGGGGGCAGCAACCCCTTCGGAGAGCCGCGGGTACGTCGCTACACCCTATTGCTTAGTGCATACGATGATCAGTAAGCAACATAATCTGATGATCAGTGCTTCGCTTCGCAGCACATGCTGATCAGTTGCTCGCCATGTGGCAACATAACTATACATTTTTCCGCCATGCAGCAACCTCTTATTATTCTTCCGTCATTTTATGTAATCGGACCACTTCTTGGCCGTGCGATCTTTTTTCCGCCCTGCAGTTTGATTTATTCTTCCCTATGATAAACCGGTTCGCTTCTCCGTCGTGAAGTGGAAGAATAGCCTATATTCCATGATATGGTAGTAAAAAATGATCGCTGGTTTGTAATGCAGCACAATCTATGATTATTCCGCCATGCAGTACGTTCGATTAATCCTTCGCGCCGCAATATTTTTTGCTCTGCAATAAAATCGGATCAGTCTTTCGCCATCTAAAATTACTTGATCCTTATCCCGCTCAGCCACAATAGCTGATCACTTGTCCGTCATTTCACTAAATTTGATCAATTATCCGCCGTCCCATCAGAGGGAAAAATTATTTGCTACTTGAATCGGATCCTTTTTTTCCCATGCCGCATAAAAATATCACTTTTCTGCCATGCCGCAATCAATCTTCTATCCTCACTGCACTTCTCCACCAACTGGCGAAATCGCATCACTTGTCCGCCGTGTCACGAAATTGGCTTTATTTTACGTCATAACGCAAAAATCATATCACTTTTCCGCCATATCGCGAAATAGAAACATTTTCGCGCCATACCGCTAACTAGAATCACTTATCCGCTATTTGACAGAATCGGATAGGCCTAATTTCTCCGCCACGCTGCAAAATCGGATCATTTATCCGCCATGGCTGCGAAATTGGATCACTTATTCGCCCCCCCTGTAGCTAAATTCGATCAATTTTCCGCCATGCTGCTAAATTGGATCAATTATCCGCCATGGCTGCTAAATCGGATCATTTCTCCGCCATGATGCTAAATCGGATCACTTATTCGTCATGCTGCTACATGGCATTATTTATCTGCCGTGGCTGCAAAATCGGATCAGTTGTCCGCCATGGCTGCTAAATCGGATCACTTCACCGCCACGATGTTAAATCGGACCACTTCTCCGACATTCGGAAGATTGGATCACTTCTACGCCATATAGCAATAATCTGATTGGTTTTTCGCCATGTCGTAAATAGATCGCCTGCTCGCCATGCTGCTAAATTGAATTTGTTTATATCCTTGTCGTATAATCAGATCACTTCCCTCCTATGCAGCTCGGATCTTTTTCCGTTATGCAGCGAGATAATCATATATATTCATCGTGCAGGAACCGCCGCAGAACGACGCCCTGGAGCGCACCAAGCGGCAGGTGGAGGAGGTCAAGTCCATCATGGGGGAGAACGTCCAGCGCGTCATAGCGCGCGGCGAGACGCTCGAGAACCTGGACGCACGCGCGGCCAACCTCACGGTGAGTGCCAACAGCAGGGTGAGTGGCCGATGTCGCAGTGGCAACCCCACAGTGAGTAGTCAATCACACGGTGAATGGCTGACCGCACGGTGAGTTGCTGACTTCACGGTAAGAGGCCGACCTCAAGATTTATAAGTTAGCACGTAACGTTATACAGAACAAGCGGTGTTCAGATGAATAATATACGTATAAAAATTACTTAGTAAAGACACTTCTAAAGAATCCAGGGTCTCCAATGTTAAATATGGACAATGAATTTCTCATTTTATTTTCGAATAATAAAAAAATTAATTTTTAAATTTTTTTTAATATATAAAATGTTTTTTTTTAATTATTTATTCTGTTAATTGATTCGTGCATTGCCTCCGACTAAACACAAGTGTGCAAAATTTCAGATCATTTGGACAGGTAAAAGTGTGTCAAATATCAATTATAAGATTTGTAGCCGACAAAATTATTTTTTTTTATATTGGAAAAAAATTGTTATTCCTAAAATTATTTATTTTGTCATTTGATTCATGCATTGTCTCCAACTTTACGCAAGTGTGCAAAATTTCAGATTAATACGATAAGTAGAAGTGTATTAAATTTCGATTACAAGATTTGTAGCAGACAGACAAACAAGAAGTGAAGTTGAAGAGAAGTGTTGTAATTAAGTGAAGTTTGTTCGACAGGCGAACGCAAGCGAGTTCCAGCGCACGTCGCGGTCGTTGCAGCGCAAGATGTGGTGGAAGAACATCAAGATGTGGCTTATCCTCGGCCTCATCGCCATCATCATCATTGTGATCATAATCATCGCAGCGGTGCCCCCCAAGACCACACCCACCGTCACCCCCTCCGCCGGTGCCCTCCAACCTTAAGCTCGAACGTCACGATTTAACCAAAGTTCATGAATATCAACTATTCACAACTTGAGGATATTCACAGTATAATGAAATCTAGCATCGCAGGACTATTATTTACTGTTCGCACAACTCTATACTTACGCGTTAATATATTCGACGAGTCACCAGTCCAATAATAATTGCCCAATTGATATCCTTATATTAGTGCGATCACCCACTCGCTGTAACAATTTGCCTAGCTTCATGAAGCCAAGAGACTTTAATATGTGCTGAACGCGGGATCTTTGTTGTGTTGGACAGGTGCGTTGTCAATATATATTTTTTGAAATTATATAGCGTTGATCTTACTGCCACCGATTATTTATCTATACTTTGTTAATTAGAACGTTGAAGGAGATCATGTGGCAAAAACAACACGCCGTATTTGATAATGCAATAAATAAAGCTAGTGAGCATCGAGCGACAATATACTGAAGACCTGAGATATATAATTCGATAAGGATTGCAACGCTTCCAAATCATTCAAACTGTTCCGAATTCGACATGGAGGTGAGCATTCTAGCACGCACTACAATACCAACTATTGTACCATTGAATACTTGTATACTTTTACAGGCAGAATATATGCATTTTGGTATTTGTACGTTTAAATAATTTCCGCTAGTTCGTGAGAGTTTTCCATTTAAATAATACCTCCAGCCATTTGATGATTAATCAACACTATCCTCAACCAGTTAATTTTCAGGTGATAATTTAGCTGAAAAGTCTTTAATAATGAAATAGGGAGGTAGTACAGCTCTTTCATGTTTTAATGAAGGCGAGAAAAATATAGGCTCTTTGTTAACTTTTATTCTATTGCATCTTTGATATGAGTCAAGAGACAGTGGCTAAAATCATGGCAACGAGCCCCGCCCCATAAACCCTCTTGAACTCACGTGACCATCGTGCGGCGTGTGGAACAGCCGCACTTCGATAAAATTAAACAATTAATTAGGAACATGATCAAAATTTGCTGCGCCTCGACGGCAAGGCAGTTTTGTTGTGAATAAATAATGAAATTAATATGCCTGAGCAGACAAACATCCCAGCCTAACAAACTTGCGACGTCTGATAGTTAAAAAATTATCCTCAGATCTAAAATTAACGCGTTAGTATTTTGGTAGCAGGGTGTAGTAGAACAGGAAGATAGGACAAGGAACCGAAGTTGGCGAGCGCTGCAGACTGCTGACCTGCAAACACGCAGACTCGACCGACAACTAAAAAGAATGGCATGCAATATTTTAGATGGCAAGGTGAAGGGTTGTTGCGTAGCCTGTGTACGTTGTGTTGTGCAGCCGTGGCAACACTGGGAGTGTGAGGACGAGCAGACGATGCGGAGATGGTGAACTAGAAGCCGTGCACTTTGATTTGATCGCTCTTGACAAGCCCAACCTTTGTGAGGAACTGACAGATATTCTCACGCTGGTCCCCCTGCATCTGCAACACCTGTAATACCGCTTCAATCAACACCTGCACAGCGATGTCTGACAGCTGAATATGCTACTACCTACACAGATGCTGCCATCAACGAACCATCCGAGTTACAAATAACAAAGTTTTTTTTAACAAATTTTGGTAAAATGTAGGAAATGGTTAAGGATTGTCAAGTATTTTCCACTTGTATCAGTTCCACTTATTTCAATAGTAAATAAAATACTTAAAAAAACTTTTTAAAAAACCACGTTTTTCTTGTGGACTAAAAAGTAGAAAATAAATTATGGCTCGCCCCAAAAAACGTGTGTCGGGCAGATTTATGATTAAAGCGAAAAGCACACAACACACGAATTTTGGAAATTTGATGGTGAACGTACAGCCCGACCCACGTTTTTTGGGGCGAGCCATAATTTATTTTCTACTTTTTAGTCCACAAGAAAAACGTGGTTTTTTAAAAAGTTTTTTTAAGTATTTTATTTTCTCCTTTTTAGTCCGTTGCTACACATGAAAAACGTTGTTGCGAGCCAATTTACTTGCCTTGACGTACGTATCGATGATACGCAGCGTAAGCGCCTGCTCGTCTATAACGTCAGCGCCCGCACGTCATACTATATATATACTATTTATATATACATTACTCAATTAAGCTAATTTAGGTTTCTAATTGCTAGTTTTTATGATTGTATCTGAAATTGTTAGGCGAAAATAGCCTGCATGCCGAATTTCAGATCTCTAGAGCAATCAGAAGTGGGCTAACTTTCGTTGTCAATGTTAACAACAAACAAACAAACAAACAAATAAACAAACAAACAAACGCGAAGCTAAGCTAAGAAAAACGTTTTAAAAGTATGTTCACAACCTGAGTACCGGTATATCATTTCTAAATTTAAATAGAATTATCTTGTAATAGCTTTAATTTACAATCAATGTTTAAAACCTTTATTTCAATCATACTCAAACTGGTTAGCTCGGCTGTTAATATAATAATCCTTGCCATTTGAGAATTAAACTTCTCTCCATCTCATTATCCAAGTTAATAATTTTGAAACTAAAGTACCTTACCATAATTAGACAAATGACCGTACAAGCCCTAACTCAGTATGAAACGCTCACCCTGATCCGAGTTTTAAGTTCAGAATTAATCTTGAACTTGACTTTCTTTAATATATTGTACACTTACTGTACATAGATGAATATCACACTTTAATATTGAATCAAAAATTTCCCTTCAATTTTTCTGTCACAGTACTCCACTATTTAAAAGAAAATTTCAAGGCAATATTCCATCATGGGAAGTTTTGGGACAGTATCTCGTATTCATTGTCACATTTCCAATTACTTAGTTTTTCCATTACTTCAATCACATAAAATTAATAGGTGATAACTTACAATCTTTATACATGAGGTAATAGTTAGAAGGTATTAATTTGTATCTAGATTTCTTTAAACCCCAATTTTATTCCCTGGGCATGAAAATTTTTCGCTCACATTAAAAAATAGTACTGATATAGATGTGAGCATCACATCGAGCGATACCCGTTACCCATTGTATCTTTGCCACGTCAGGGAGGGAAAACATCTGCATAAGAATGCACTCCAAATGGAAAATCAAATGATGAGCAGCACCAACGCTCATAACATTATGAGCAAAAATAGAATAAGAGGAAGCTAGGTAACCAGGAAGACACACCTCGCCGTACTCGGGATGCTCGACTACCGTGCCGTTGCAGGCAAACTCCTTCTTGCAAGCCCGCACTATCTTCTTCAGGTCATAGTCAGCAGAGAGCCCCTGCACGGTGGTCAGGGTCTTACGACCATTGCGCTGCTGGATTCTGCAATAAATCATTTCACTTTCATAATAAACTCCAAAATAATACAATAGTGGTTACATATAGAAGTCTCACAATTCATATGATGCAATTGCACATTACAAATTATGAATGTAATAATCTAGATTGGTAATAGATATAAACAAAGTTCCTCAAAAGTTATATACTCTTATCTCACACACACACTCATTTGCATTGAATTAAAATGCAAGCTGCTCACCTGATATGAACTAGTCCATCTTGCACTCCTTCATCCCTACCTGCTGCATCAGCAAAGGGATCTGCAATGAAACAATGAAAACGTCAATCACTGTTATTGCTAAGCAATTATATGCCAAATGCTGACTTATTTATTATATTTTCATTTATATAACTTCATTCTGACTTGTATTTATGAAAAATTTTGTATAACAAACTAGGTACAACTTTTACGCAAGCTAAGATCACAAGACAATATGTTAGTTATACCTTCATTATAACTAGTATTTATGAAAAATTTTGTTTAACAAAGTAGGTACAACATTAATGCAAGCTGTGATCACAAGACAATATGTTACTTATCAGTATACTAATGGCTCAACTGATTCAGTACATGTTGTTCAATTAGGTCCCTATTGTGAACAATCATTAAGGTAAACATATCAAATTAAATTTAACTGTCTCTTTCTTTTACTGAGGTCTCAATAAGTATCAGATAGTTGGGCCTAATTGCTCAGTTGTTTCACTTCAAATGGGTTACAATTGTCCTCAATTTTTCAAACTCAATTTTGACTACTAATCAAACTCTAACAAAGAAAGGTCTCCACAACACATGCAAAATAATTTACTAATCAAAAATATTAATCCATGGCAGATTATTCATCTCTGTTAAAAGATTATAACTGTGAAAATGACAAGCAAGCACTGCAAAGCACAAAATATTTTAGCCCTGGTCAGAAGTAGGCCAGTTCAGCAGCCAACTCAAGGCATGACTGGAGTGGAAAACTGGATGTCTATTTTAGGCTCATGACATTCATGCCACAATTTAAATCCATAGTACTAGCCTACTAGGAGTGCAAGATCTTTACTTTCTCCAGAATGATTGCACAGTATTGGTAGTAATGACTAAAAACTGGTATTCCTAAACTATCATCTCATTAACCACTCTAATGTGTATTTTTGTCAACTGAATGACTTAGTGATTACAGCAACTCTGATGTTTCAATAGGATAACTTCACCTAGAAGTCATTTTACCAAAGCAATGGCTAGGATTTAAATTTTCAGAGAGTGATTATGCGATCCCAACTAGGTAAAAATTTAAAATAAAAGTTACAGTTGTATTTGTTGCTTAGACTTCTTCCGAGCCATGAGTAATAATTGGAGAGTACAATAGTAGCCACTTCCATTGCAACAGCTTAGCAACACTTAGGACATGGTGAAATTCTAGAAATGAAGTTACTGCTCAGCATTAATGGGTTAAAAACAGGGTTGGTGATTTTTTTGATTTTTTAAAAAAATCAAAAATCAATGATTTTTTTATTTTTTCATGATTTCTTTTATTTATTTGATTTTTTTTATTTTTTCAGCTTTTTTGTCTTTTTGAAGTATTATTTTTTATGTTGCAATTAGCCTACTAACAATAACAGTATATGGATCATAATGGATGGCTAAAAAGGGCACTCATTGCCTTCAATAATGGCCAATAGGCCAAGGTGGTGTTTACCACTTAGGGATTTTTGGGTAAACAATTATTGACAAGTCTATTCATTAGGTTTGTAAAGTATGTATGGAGCAAGGTAATGAGCTAAATATTGACCATTTAACTGGCTTCAATATACAAAAACACTTCAGGAATGCAGATCTTCTAAACATTGAAGAGTCACATAATAGATAGGTAGCTGATAGCACAGTGCACAGCACTATCAATAGATCTACTAGGTTCAAGTCCTATAAATCTACCACACTCTACCCTCTATACACACCAACTACTAGTGACTGAGTGCACTGTTCCCATTCAATTCAGACCAATAAACCAATACTAAACAGAAACTGAACGATAACCAAACAAACCTTATACGACTTGAAAAGAGACTTAAGTTATGAGAAAATCTAACACTGAAATAAACATGTGCACAATTCATATATTTTATATCCCTTTCACTGCATTTAATTATTTTATATATAGTCTTATAATTGCAATTGTTTTGTTTCTAGTTTTAAATTCACATATTTAAAGATTGAAATTAAATATTTTAATTAGAATGCTTGTATTAGGGTGGAAAATCTTTCTAATTGCCTAATAGGTCAATACAATCTCATCCTCTCAATATACAGGGTGGGGCAGAACCAATTGAGCAGTTTTGAGATAAAATAAAAGAGTAATGGAGGTACATATAGAAGAAAGTTTATTTTCCTAGAAGTTAGCATAACATACCATTTAGAATACTTATGTTTTGAAAACAATATCTGGAAGATGGGGGCCGTTAGCTGCACCACACTGTTGGAGTTGTTCTCAGAGGAGGGAGTAACCGTGACAGTGAATTCCGATCGCTATGCTGCTGAAATTTATGCTGTTATGCTGTTGCAAAATTTATTGCAGCCCATGATGGAAAACATTGTTGAAAATGAAGCATTGGGAGACATGTGGTTCCAGCAGGATGGGGCTACAGCTCACTTAGCCCAAATGTCATTCCATGTTTTGAAACGCAGGTTTCCTGGGGTCTAGGTATGGTGTCTGAGGGGCAATTTACAGTGGCCTGCGAGGTCACCTGATTTGAGCATTTGCGATTTCTTTCTTCGAGGACATTTAAAAGAGAGGGTGTTCAGAAGTCGCCCTCACACCCTGCCACAGCTAAGGGAACGGATTATTGCAGCAGAGGTTATGGCCATACCTCTGCTGCATGTGTGAACGTGCTGTAGGAAACTTCCGAGAATGACTCCAAGAGTGTAATGCAGCTAACAGACACCATCTTCCTGATATTGTTTTCAAAACATAAGTATTTTAAATGGTATGTTTTGCTAATCTTGAGGAAAATAAACTTTCTTCTTTATGTACCTCCATTACTCTTTTATTTTGCCTCAAAACTGTTCAATCAGTTCTGCCCCACTCTGTACAAGCTAGCTAACACATTTAAATTGTATATTGTAATCAATATATAACAAATAGTCAAATAGGTGAAGACTACTTATAGCCTTGTAAGAATTAGCTAAGCTGCTAGCTATGTACAATGTATTGCACACTTGATGCCTCTGTACCAAAAACATTCAATTTATTGGAACCTAATACAAGTTTATATACCAATTTGTCATTCATAGTACATTTATACTAACCATGAATAACAATACCTCAATATAAATTAATGACTGCCACTCAATATATTTAAATATATGAAAAAATCAAGTGATTTAATCACATGATTTAATCATTTTGATTTAATCATTGCCAACCCTGTTTAAAAAAAAGCCAGTATCTTGATATAAAAGCCCATACTTTACAGTCTGACTGCCAGAGGTACTGCAGTATGAAACAATGTTTCACTTGCAATTAGGAAATATTTCAAACAAAAGTTAAATGTGTGCCAGAATTTAATAGGTAAAATAGATAAAATTTTGATCATGAGGCTGTTCAATACCATTTAATTTATTTAATTTGAAAATTTAATTTTCAACTAAATATACAACACTAGGAATCAAAATTTTTGATTAGTCAGAAATCCATTTAGCAAGATGATAATCCATTAAATGAGATTAATGAGCTTCAAACACTTTTACACTGGGCTCTTGCATTTCTTCCACTCATCATGCCCTGCATGCTGAATCAAATTTGTATGCAATATCTTCTTGCTATAATTGATTTCCATCTAATCTGGTGTTTACCCAAATGAATAAATTCATGTCTAAGCAGTAAACAATGATGTTGCTCCAAACGTCCTTAGTACAACAGGACTGTTGTTTATTTTTCTATTCCATACTTTGGCCCTGCATCCAAACCTATGTCAAGGGAGCTAAAACTTTTGTTTTCAAAGTACTTCCCAAATGTTAATCTTTATGTTCTATCAGTGAAAAATTAAAAAAAAATTTTTTGGTACAAAGATAACCTCCCTTTGGCCTTTGCATATGCAAGTGTCCCTATCTTATAAATATAGTTGCACATGAATGACATGATGTGCATCTGCGCCAGGGTGCAGAGTTTGCAAGCAGTGTTGCCAAGATGTGGATTTTAAGCCCAAAACGTCACCAGCCATATTCAAGATGAATTGTCAGGTAAATTTTTAATTAAAAAAATGCTGCTAACAACTTTGATAGTACAGGGTGAAGCAGAACCGATTGAGCAATTTTGAGGCAAAATAAAAGAGTAAATACTTACATTTTAAAAATAATATCAGGTAGATGGTGGCTGTTAGCTGCAACATACTGTTGGAGTCATTCTCAGTGTCTCTGAGGGGTGTACAGTGGCCTGCAAAGTCACCTGATTTGCATTTCAAATTTCTTTCTTTGGGGACATCTAAAAGAAAGGGAGTTCAGAAGTTGCCCTCACACACTACCACAGCTAAGGGAATGGATTATTGCAGAGGTTACAGGCCATACCTCACCATATGTGTGAACGCGCTGTAGGAAACTTCCAAGAACGACTCCAACAGCGTGTTGCAGCTAAAGGACACCAACTTCCTGATATTGTTTTCAAAACATGAGTATTTTAAATGGTATGTTATGCTAACCTCAAGGAAAATAAACTTTCTCCTTTATGTACCTCCATTACTTTTATTTCACCTCAAAACTGCTCAATCAGTTCTGCCCCACCCTGTATATCCCTTACTTTCGCAACACTTCACTCATTGCAACTGATTTCCAGACAAGCTTCCTAGTTCCTGCATCCTGATCTATCCAATCATTCCAATGTACCGGAAACCTTACTGTGTGCGCTTGCGGTCTTTCAGATTTTCAACTATTTTCTAAGTATGTCCTATGTAATCAAATAATTCTTTGAAACGCCTTAATGTAATACATCTCAACAAAAAATATTTACAAACTACTGTTATTATTCATGCCTCATACCTAACTGAAATAATAATCGATCATCTTTTTTATTATACCATAAATAGGTATTTGACAGCAAGTGTGAAACTGTGAACCGATCATATATATAATTTCTGATTAGCAGGATTTATTTACCACAACAGCAAAAGCCTGATTGAGGGCATAGTAAAACTTGAAAAAAGTACGACTGTACGAACACAACCCAGACTAGCTAGCTAAACATTAAAATATGAATTACAATTTTATACCTGCATAAACAATTATATTTTCCTTAGTAATTTTTTAACCTGGAACAAAACGCATATAAATAATTTTGAGAACTTCTCATACAAAAGGTTGTTCGAACTTCATTCCATTATTCACTTCAGAGTTCACTTCGAACAAGAATAGTAAACAAACAAAGAAAAATAGAAGTTGAATTATTGAGATTTACTATACATACTCACCAAATGTGCTAAGATTCTGGATGGACATACGAGTTTGAAGTTTTCACGATCGAAAAGAATGCGAAGCGCAAATCGCAACGACTTCGGCCAATAATTTGCAACAAATTTTCACGGAACGTACTAATGGCGAGAAGACCCGGATGAAGTGTTGCCAACTGATGCGATTTTAGTAATTAAATTCAACGATGAATAACTACCACTTGTATGAGATTAAACTGAATGAATTGAACCAATTAGACGAAAGATAAATTTTAGCATATACTAAGTAAATTAGGATACAAAAATATGACTAAATGAGTATTCTAGCAGGGAAACGAAAATAATTCATAAAAAGGGGCTTGTATAAAATTTTTTGTTCCATGCATTTTTCCCTGACAATCTTCATCGATTAGAAAGATGTCGTTTATGCCCAGTTCTTCAAAGTAACAATTTGACGTTATCTTATAACTTAACATAGTGATGGCGGCGCTGAAGTGTAGGCCTCATGTGGCCTGTTGCCGAATTTATTATTTATAAAGCCATTGCAATGTAAACTTATTTAGGGTCGTTCTAGATTGATTATGAAATTCGAAAATGGGTTCAAATAAATCTAAAAGTAGTACTATGTTATATAATGTATTTATTACAGATAAAATGAAACAAAAAATTGCGACAGAGGCAGCTGATTCGTCGGACCTGTGCCTATTCGTAATTAGTGATGGCGTAACATTCAATGATATAAAATATCATGTTGGATAAAGTTGAACGGCTACGAGTCACAGAACGACCTTTCAGTAACTATGCCCAACTGACGTGCTTAATTTATGAGAGGTTAATTATCTTCAATTATACGGAAAAGTTGAAATTATTGCTTCAAAAAATCACAAGATGTGTTAAGAATGAAAGTTAGTCGCTTGTTCTTGGCTAAAATATCTAGAGTAAATAGTGGTAATAAGACAAGATTCTAAGGTCCAGATTTTAATATGAAAGAGACTCGCGTGACATGCATGAATCACGTTGCATCGATTCTCTTCCAATTGTCGCACCAAGAATATTGTACCGATTTAAGTACTGCAGCTGGTGGAGGTTGTGCTACATAAGCAAAGTGACTCTCACCAAGACTCTCACACTGCCCAATCGGTTATAGTATAATTCCTCTCGAGTGGAACTTAAATCGGAAGACAAAACGGCAGCAAACGCATAATAAAATAATATGTTCAGGGTGAATTGTCACTAAACTTGGTACTAGTTAAACTCGACTCCCGGGAGTAAGAAACTGAGGGCTCAGTGCCGTCAAAATAGCGATGCACACGGGAAGTGCATGGAATAGACCATTTCGAGGAGCTCGATTTTCACTTTAATCAAGCATGCACAGCATTAATGGTCTATACCTAGATCAACTCAATTAAATTCTGCGCCGAATTTATTTCATTACCAGTCACCTAGATAATAAACATAAATTATCATAAATACGAGTCTTCACCTACCTAAGACGCAAAGTCATCAGACTGAACTCATTTGTCCGCACTGCAATATGGGAGCTAAACACCACTCATGGGAGGAGGGGGGAGGCTCAACGCACATAAGCAATCAAAGAGATATTCCTCTACTTCCTTCACCCAAAACACAAAAACAATCAAACTGAATTTCACAATTTTCTCTGATCCGTGTACTTGAAACAGGGAACAAACATAGAGGTCAGTATGAAGTTTAATATCACAGAAGTATGTAGTACCTATACCACAACACAACACAAGTCTCTTGCTTCACGAATTCTCCTATTCTGGTGCAGCGGAGCTCAAGCGTCAAGGGTACACCAGGCGGGGCTGCAGCATCGACGGCCACGGCACGCGCAGGACAGCACCGCCTCCTCCAGCGGGCGTGGCGTCATCTGTAACGAGGCAACGAGCATCATTGGTTACGAGAAATTAATTACGAGACGCGTTACTAGCAAAACACGGTAGTTACGGAACGCGAAGAGCCAAGTACGAAACGCACCAAGTTAGTTACGAGACTGTCAGGCTCCGTAGTTCTTCTAATAAAGTTTGCAAGACAAATAACATACGTCATACGTTTGACTGTAACACCAGTCAGCCCTGTTAACTCAGGCAATGTTGCGTTTGTTACAGCGGCAGACACTGCACTGACCTGCAGTGACGAGGGCAGCCGTCACTACACTCACCTGCAGTGACGAGGGTGATGACACCATCAGCGACCGTCAGCACACGTCCCACCACAGCTGACGATCTCGAGATGCCATCAGCTGACGTGCAGAAAGCGCCTTCATCGGGTGGCAGGTAGAAGAGGATAATGTCGTCCTGACGAGGCATCGATGTCAGCGCTGGCAGATTGTCAGCGTCGAGCCTCGGGCGCTCATCGGCGGGACGTGGCACGTCTACAGCACCGGACGAGTTAACCAGTTCGTTGAGACGTGCATGCTCATCACGCCTCGCTTCGTCCCCCACAAACGACGGATCATCGTCAGTTGAAGAGTGGTGGTTCATCGTAGCTCGACGTCGTCTGCTTCTCTGACGTTTGGGTGACGTGACAGCGCTGCTACTGCTGCAGCTCACGTCACTTGTGTCACGTCCCACGTCATTCAAGTCCCGACGTTCGTCTTCTAGGCCATGACCTAGGCTGCTATCCACATCATGCCTACAACGCAACATCTGCAACAGACTGCCAACAGCGGAGTGAACCTTGGGCTTAAACCTGCTACGTGATGACGTGTTGCTCCCAGCCAGCGTGTTGTTCCCAGCCATCAGCGTGTTGCTCCCAGCCAGCGGCGTATTGCTTCCGGCCAGCAGCATGTTGCTCCTAGCCAGCGACGTGTTGTTCCCAGCCATCAGCGTGTTGCTCCCAGCCAGCGGCGTGCTGTTCCCAGCCAGCGACGTGTTGTTCCCAGCCAGAGGCGTAACGCTCCCAGCCAGCGGCATGTTGCTCCCAGCCAGCGGCATGTTGCTCCCAGTCAGTAGCATGTTGCTCCCAGCCAGCGATGTGTTGTTCCCAGCCAGAGGCATAACGCTCCCAGCCAGTGGAATATTGTTCCTAGCTATAAGCGTGTTACTCCCAGCCAGCGGCATGTTGCTCCCAGTCAGAGGCATAATGCTCCCAGCCATTGGCGTTTTACTCCCAGTCAGCAGCATGTTGCTCCCAGTTAGCAGCGTGTTATTCCCAGTCAGAGGCATAACGCTNGGCGTGTTGCTCCCAGTCAGTGGCGTGTTGCTCCCAGCCAGCGGCGTGTTGCTCCCAGTCAGTGGCGTGTTGCTCCCAGCCAGCGGCGTATTGCTGCCAGTCAGTGGCGTGTTGCTCCCAGCCAGCGGCGTATTGCTGCCAGTCAGCGGCATGTTCCTCCCAGTCAATGGCGTGTTGCTCCCAGCCAGCGGCGTGTTGCTCCCAGTCAGTGGCGTGTTGCTCCCAGCCAGCGGCATGTTGCTCCCAGTCAGTGGCGTGATGCTCCCAGTCAGCGGCGTATTGCTGCCAGTCAGCGGCGTGTTGCTCCCAGCCAGCGGCGTGTTGCTCCCAGTCAGTGGCGTGTTGCTCCCAGCCAGCAGCGTATTGCTGCCAGTCAGCGGCGTCGTGTTGCTCCCAGTTAGCGACGTGTTTCTCCCAGTCAGCGGCGAGTTGCTCCCAGCCATCAGCGTATTGCTCTCAGTCAGTCCGTTGTGCTCAGCCAGTCCGTTGTGCTCAGCCAGTCCGTTGTGCTCAGCCAGGCCATCATGCTCAGCCAGTCCGTTGAGCTCAGCCAGGCCATCATGCTCAGCCAGTCCGTTGTGCTCAGCCAGTCCATTGTGCTCAGCCAGTCCGTTCTGCTCAGCCAGGCCATCATGCTCTGCCAGTCCGTGGTGCTCAGCCAGTCCGTGGTGCTCAGCCAGTCCGTTCTGCTCAGCCAGTCCGTTGTGCTCAGCCAGTCCGTTCTGCTCAGCCAGTCCATCATGCTCAGCCAGTCCGTTGTGCTCAGCCAGGCCATCATGCTCGTTGTGCTCAGCCAGTCCATTGTGCTCAGCCAGTCCGTTCCTGTCTCTTATACACATCTAGATGTGTATAATGCTCAGCCAGTCCGTTGTGCTCAGCCAGTCCGTTCTGCTCAGCCAGTCCATCATGCTCAGCCAGTCCGTTGTGCTCAGCCAGGCCATCATGCTCAGCCAGTCCGTTGTGCTCAGCCAGTCCGTGGTGCTCAGCCAGTCCGTTGTGCTCCATTCTGCTCAGCCAGTCCATCATTCTGCTCAGCCAGTCCATCATGCTCAGCCAGTCCGTTGTGCTCAGCCAGGCCATCATGCTCAGCCAGTCCGTTGTGCTCAGCCAGTCCGTGGTGCTCAGCCAGTCCATTCTGCTCAGCCAGTCCATCATGCTCAGCCAGTCCGTTGTGCTCAGCCAGTCCATTGTGCTCAGCCTGTCCGTTGTGCTCAGCCAGTCCATCATGCTCAGCCAGTCCGTTGTGCTCAGCCAGTCCGTTGTGCTCAGCAAGTCCATCATGCTCAGCCAGTCCTTTGTGCTCAGCCGGTCCGTTGTGCTCAGCCGGTCCGTTGTGCTCAGCCAGTCCGTTGTGCTCAGACAATCTGTTGTGTTCAACCAGTCCGTTGTGCTCAGCCAGGCCATCATGCTCAGCCAGTCGGTTGTGCTCAGCCAGGCGATCATGCTCAGCCAGTCCGTTGTGCTCAGCCAGTCCATCATGCTCAGCCAGTCCGTTGTGCACAAGCTGTCCCTCTTGCGGCACATTGTTCTTCCTGGTGGTGCCGTCATTTGCAAGCGAGGGATGCCGTCTACTTTTAAGCTTAAGCTCTCCCTCAGCAAGGCTCAGGGCGCTGGAGGGCAGAAGACTGGCTCCAGGAAAGGTGCTAGGCCCCCTGTCGCTCCTGTAGTAGATGAGAGGCTCCGAGAATTTTTCGACGCACGTCAAGAAGGAAAACTCGTTGAGAACAACGCGAGTAGGGGGTGGGAATGGTACGCTGGAAGGGGGGTTCCTGAAGGGGTATTTGCTCATCTGCTCAGACGACAACGCAGCAGCGGGGGCACTACAGAGGTGTCGGTGTTCACTTCCTTCTTTCCTTTGCCTTCTCTGGTGCGTGTAAACAGAAACATGGTCAGCATTTATTACGGCGTCCAAAAATTGGAACTCTTCGTGGTTTTTACAGCCTGAATATCGTTCAGAATTTTCTTTAACTGCTGCTTTGAACTTTATCAAATCAAACTGCTCGGTCCTCTCTGGCAAACTAAGCAAGCCCTGATTCGATGAAGGTTTGTTGCAGGGCGAAGCCTCAAGACCAACGTCGTCCGTCATGAAATCCGACTCGGTCGCGTGTTCTGCAGACTCCACATCGAAGACCGTCTTCTTGCCCATAAAGCCAACAAGACCACAGGCTTGTCTCGTGAAAGGATTGCCAGGCAATACTCTTGCCTTGACTTCCACCGCTGACTTCCCCTCCACCAGTTTGGCCAAGGCTTCCACCTCTCGCTCGTACTGGTGCCGGTGGCGCTCGTGTTCTGCCTTATTGGAGAACACGAGGGATCCTGGCCGCAAATACTTACTCTCCAATGCCGCTTTAGCTGCGGCTGCCGCCTTCGCTTCTTCTTCACACAAACCAGTTTGATTCCCACCAATAATTTTGTGAAGTCGTTGACGCTCTCGCTTGCAGGCCTTGTTGTGCTTGCGACGCCGCTTGCTCTTTACTTTGATTTCAGAGTCATTCTCCACTTCAAAGTTATTACGCGTTCGAAACTCGTCACTCCGAGACATCATATTCCCGATCTCTGCATCATCAGAGCTGTCATCTGGGGCGAGAGCGGTACTAGTGTCTAAGCTGCCTGGATGTGGGGACACCGAAACTTGTTGTATTTTTCGGGTTTTCTCAGAACAAGCCTCCAATGGTGTGTCATTTAGTCCATTTTTCGCAGGTTCGCTGTCACGAGGTGACACCCCAATTCTTGTGACGTGACCATCTTTGTGCCCACTAAGACTAGGTATGTTCTGCGTATTAACGTGACTAGCCTCGGGCACCGCAGGGTGAGGAGAACTTAGCACATCGTCGCCGACACTATATTTGTCAAGAAGGATAGGTTCCTGCGTTTGAAGGGTGGAGGTGATAACGTCATCCCACATCCTGCCCCTCGTCGCCACATCTGTGGGGGCCGTGAAGCATCCCTCTGTGACTGGAACGTGGCATGCTTTTTGTCTCTTGGGAAGAGGTGCTGGTGACGTGACGTCCGCTTGAGTGGGTTCCAGGTCCGAGTTTGAACGTTTACTGTTCCTGACGGTGACTTCTGTGACGGGACGCAGCCTGAAGTACAAAAATGCAGGCAATAATTAACACAGGCAACAGGAACAAGCGATTATAAGCTGCACAGACAGGCGAATATAAACTACTCGGAATAATGACTGGATCATATGGTACAAATCATGGATAATAAGGTGAAACTTTATGCACATCACACAGACATTCTGTTCAACAATGCCACACACACCGGGTCTTGCTTAATCTTCCGAGAGCAGGGAGAAGAGCAGCAAGACTCACATGAGCAGCCTGTCATGAGGTGCTGCAGCAAGACTCACATGAGCAGCCTGTCATGAGGTGCTGCAGCAAGACTCACATGAGCAGCCTGTCATGAGGTGCAGTAGTAAGACTCACTTGAGTAGCTCATCCTGCAGGTTCAGCAGAACACTGCTTGGCAAGTCAGGATGGATGAAAAAATCGCCATGGAATAAATTAACATGGGAGTTGCTGTCGTCCCCATCTGTTGGCGAGCTTAATTTGAGTAATTTATTCACAGAAAATGCATTTTGAAATAAATTTTTTACATAATAAAGTGTTCTCAATGACAGCAAAAGTTTAATACATATTGAATCTTATTTTAAGAACATATTTTCAAAAAAATAGGTGTGTTAATACATAGCCCTAAAAAACTAACTAAAATGTATGTTGTATCAAGCAAAATCTTATGAGTAAAATACTGGTTATATTTTTTACTTTTGACCTTCTAAGCAAGCCAAGTCACTTTGGTAAACTTTCATCCTGGGTACAAGGGAATGTTGCTTGAATATTGGAATATTGTACAGGGGCATACCTGTCCCCAACTGGAACAGTGAGACAACAGCATGCAGAACATCTGCAACGGTCCGATGATCAGCCTCCACAATAGGGAACACCACCAGGCACCTGGCATCATGATAGTAGTGCTGCAAATCTAACTTTATTAGTGCCATCTTGAAGTACAATCTCTGCAATGAAATAAAATAACATTATTCATGACAATTATTTAATGGAAACTTTCTAACATTTATTTCTTTGGTGAGAGTCAGATGGGTGAGGAACAATTTGTATGCCCTTCTACTTCCACTCTTAAAGTTAAGTACAATGTTACAATACATAGTTTTCTAGAAATAGTTTTATCTGGTTCACCATCAATTGTTTACATTTTTGATAATATTACATTTTCTTGGTTGTGCCTGGTACCTATTACCATAGAAATAATATTGGCTCCATAAACCCATTCTTAACTTCTTGTAGAAAAATTTCTTATCTCAAGCAGTAGAGATTACAAAAAGAAAATAATTAAAATTTCAATAAATTCAGGACCCTTCATATGCATTTTAGTACAGGGGCTTCATGGTTGCCTAGCCACTATCAAATCTGTGATATTGGGCAGAAATATTCAATTTTGGCTATTGACAAGTAAAAACTACTATGTATTTTATAAATTTTTTTCAAAAATTGCTGGCAAAAATGAGCCATTTTTACAACACTTCTCTTTAACTTCACTTCTTGTTTGTCTGCTACAAATCTTATACCTAATCCATATTTGACACACTTCTACCTGTCCAATCAATCTGAAATTTTGCACACTTGCATAAAATCAGAGACAATGCATGAATCAGTTGACGGAATAAACAATTTTGAAAAATTACAAAATTTTTATATAGGTATTAAAAATTTGGAAGTTATTTTTTTTTATGTTTGAAAACAATATTAGAAATTCATTGTGCATGTATAACATTGAAGTCACTGGATTCTTTAGAAATAATGCCTTAAAAAATTAAATTTTAAATGCATATTATTACAACACTTCTCTTTAACTTCACTTCTTGTTTGTTTGTCTCTCTACTACAAATTTATACCATAAAATGGGGTTACTTAGACTCCAGGGATGACTTAGACCACTTTTAGTTTTTTTAACAAAAACCCCCAAAACTCAGAAACTATTTGACATTGAAAAATTTTGTCAATGGGCATTAAAGGCCTAATACTGAGGCTATATAACACAATGAAAAGATAAAAAAATTATGCACATCTAATACTGTAGGTTAAAAAATGAAAAATGTGACCCATGAAAAAGAGCTATTATTTAAAGCCTGTCATATATCCAATTTTTTTTATTTTTTGGTAAAATAACTCCAGGTTTTGGTGCATTGTAGTAGAACTCTTCTAGTTACATATGCAAATGATAAATTTGAGGAAAGTGTCATAGTTTGCAAATGGGGGGCACTGCCTCTGAATGGGGGAACTTAGACCACCTAATGTCAGCCCTGACGGGGTAACATAGACCAGCTGGGAAATCAATTTAAAATCACCATATATAACATATTTCATGTTTGATACACCTATTAATGTTTTTTCTTTATGTTTCAGACTCTACAGAGTCTTATATATGGTAATTTTAACTTAATTTCCAAGCCGGTCAATATTACCCCTTCACAGCTGACATTATGTAGTCCAAGTTCACCCATTCGGGGAACCAGTTGGCATAATTAGGAACTGGTTTGGGAATCAGGTGGCATAATAAATAATTTTGAAAATTTACAGAAATTTTATATATTAAAAAATGAAAATTTATTTTTTTTTAATATTTGAAAATAAAATTAGAAATTCATTGTACATGTATAACATCAAAGACGCTGAATTCTTTAGAAGTGTTGTCTTTAAAAAGTAATTTTTAAATGCATATTATTCTTATCTGTAATAAATTTTGGAAGAAATTAGGCAAATTTCATTAAAAAAAACTGAAATTGATTGTAAGCATGGGCAGTTTTCTTCACATTCAGGAATCAGGATTGGCTCCTGCCTGATTTTCAAGAAAAGGCCACCACGCCCTCTTCTCAAGGCAATTATCAGGAATAGTGGCAATAACTAAAAAGTGCAATAATGTAATTTATTGCTTTTGTTATGTTCTTGTTGTAAATTTATCAATTAACATTTGCACTAAAAACAACAATTTCAGATGGAACAGTTATGGCATTGGTAATGGGTTCAAACATCCACATCACCCTTTCTCCTCTGAAATCTGAAGTGCATGAAGACTCATCAGCTACAAAAAAGTAGATTGGAATAGTTTTAGAGGACTAAGAGAAAGTATAAATGATACTTAATTTTAGATGGCAGAATTTTCTGATTTATACAGGTGTGATTAATGTTAATATCTGATTGGTCTGCTGGTGTTGCCGAATGGTTGTGACGTCACACTTGTTTGGTCGTGAGATGGCTTTGTGCTGCACTCTGATTGGTTCGGAGAACGCCGGTAGCCTTCATGGCGTGGGCTGGCTGTAACGTGACGCAAGTTGGTGGCAATGCTGTTGGGGACAGCAGTCTAGCGTGAACCATGATAGGGTGAGCATCTTGTGAGTGTGTGCTATTAACAATTAATGACCAGATAATTTGTTGATTTAAAGTATCAGAGAGTCAGACAATTTTTCAGATGATGTTTGTAGATCAAAAAGCATATTACAGGAAGTAGTTTTAGTTTATTAACAACATTTTGAATGCAACAAACATTCATTTTCAAGTTACAAGAAGAATTGAACATCAAATTTTTGTGGGAATAAGTATATAATATACCATAAAATGGGGTAACTTAGACCACTTTTCGTTTTTTTAACAAAAAACACAAAACTCAAAAACTTTTTGACATAGAAAGATTTTGTCAATGGGCATTAAAGGCCTAATACTGAGGCCACATAACACAATAGAAAGATTTAAAAAGTTTGCATATCTAATAGGTTAAAAAATTAAAAATGTGATCTATGAAAAAAAAGCCATTATTTAAAGCCTGTCAGAGTACCCCCTCCAATTTTTTTTATTTTTTTGGTAAAATAACTCCAGGTTTTGATGCATTGTAGTAGAACTCTTCTAGTTACATATGCAAATGACAAATTTCAGGAAAGTGTCATAGTTTGCAAATGGGGGTGCTGCCCCCAAATGGGGGAACTTAGACCACCTAATGTCAGCCCTGATGGGGTAACATAGACTGGCTTGGAAGTTAATATAAAATTACCATCATATATAACATATTTTATGTTCGACAACCTATTAATGTTTTTTCTTTATGTTTCAGACTCTACAGTCTTATATATGGTAATTTTAACTTAATTTCCAAGCCAGTCAATATTACCCCGTCAGGGCTGCCATTAGGTAGTCACATTTCCCCCATTATGGGGTGGCGCCCCCCGCTTGCAAATTATGACACTTTCCTCAAGTTTGTCATTTGCATATGTAACTAGAAGAGTTCTCCTATAATGCAACAAAACCTGGAGTTATTTGGAGTTATTCTACCAAAAAAATATAATTGCTTTTACCACCCAGTCTAAGATACGCCAAGAGCTGGGGTAACAAAGACCATCACTCTTTTTGAAATTACATAAAAACTTTGAGAGGCAGGAGCCAGCAATTTATGGTGAGGGCACCTAGAGAATAGACCTGTATTTTGCATGTTTCAATTCAAGTTTAATTTAGCTATTAAAAATGGCATCATTTAAAAAAAAAACAAAGTGGTCTAAGTTATCCTATTTTATGGTACGTAAGTAAGGATGAATTCAGCGGGCTTCTTGACACCCTCGAAAACAGTCAAAACCCGGAATATATGCAATAACGGTCCCTGCAAAGAAGCAAGAGTCCTCCAAGAGACCGATGTGTTTGATAAATTTTGCTTCAAAGAAGGTTGCAGACTTCTTGAATTACATTGAATGATTGAAGTTATTGGAGTAATTGTGACATTGACCAGCTGTTTCTCTTACCACCTGAGACAAGCTCACAACCAAACCAGGCATCAAATCATTACAATAAAGCAACTTCATCTCAAGATTGTCAATGAATTCAACAGGCTTCATTACAACATGTTCAAACTCCAAACTAAACGCAATAACAGCCCTTGCAGTGATGGGGGAGTAGGTGAGTAGCAGTGATGCAGCCTTGCAGGCGATAAAATTTGCTTCAAAGGTTGTAGAATTCTTCATCATTTGGACTACATTAGACAAACAACCAGGAAACTGAGCCACTGCCTCATTAGCTATATTCAACATTTCAACCAGGGCCGGAGGGCAAGTGAACTGTGAACCACATGAGACAATCTCACAACCAGACTGTAACTTGCATTGTGCTGAAGGAACCCACCAGCATTGTCATCAAGCAGTGGCTAAGTGGCCTGGCCGCCTGATATCTACTGACCAAGGATGGCAGACCTCATCAACTCTGCAGATTGGATGCCAGCTATCTCTCTCCTGACTACCTTATTTGTCTGAACTTTGAGATAGTTTTCAGAGTGATTTCTCTTGTTAAAAATTTTACTGTAGTACCTATCCTATTTACGCATATTATGTACTTCTTTCCACCAATATTCCAATATTCATTATTCAATGCTTCTTGTAACTTGAAAATAAATGTTTGTTGCATTAAAAATATCATTATTAATCTAAAACTATTTCCTAAAATATGATTTTTGATCTACCAATGTCATCTTAAGAGAAGAATTGTCTAATATTTTTGTTATGTTAACATCTTAACATTTTGATTTCTTATTGGCTAGAGTGAAGTTATAGGTGATTAAGGTGAAACTATTTGTGATGTTATTTATGACTTGTGAGAGGAATTGAGTTAGAAAATTAAATTATGGAGAATTAAAGCTCAAGCTTATTGAGCACATTTTATTGCCTTGGTAAATTAAATAGTTAATGGGATTGTGTTCTGAATAAGTGAATATTAAATTTTGGAATACTCAATTCTGTTTGGCCTAGCCTAGTGTCGAATTCTGGATAGTTAATCACGTAATTTCACGTTTATATAAGAAAATCTGAAAATGGATCCCAAAAGCTTCCAAGTTACACCTTCCACAATCCACTGCACAACTGCAGTGACAATTGTAAATTGATACACTGAGCTTATCAGAAAACAGAAACTGCCATGGTTCCATTCCTTAAAAATTTATTAGCCAAGTTTGTTCAAATTTGCGCCTCATAATATCGTGTCATGTTACTCGTATATTATGGTGTATAAAGGACCTTCAGCTTCAAGTCTTCAACTTTAGCAGGCGAATTAAAATTTTGGTAATTTCTATATTTGTACAATTAACTCACTGCCACTCAGCCTCACTCAGCAGTGAATTACTCAATTAGGATCCATGTGGCATGTTCGATGTTCCTACTGAACTGGTAAGGGTTCCTCGCGTATTACTAATGACTAATGAGTAATGAAGTCAAGTTGGACAACCAATCCAATTTGGCAATTTCCCTACGACTACGAGGCTAAGAAGACTATTTGCCTATTTCAATACTATATTCTCAAAATTAGTACACAAGGTTTTACTCATCTGTATATGTCCACAGTGACACACAGCATACGTCTTACCAGTTCGCGGCTCAATCAGGAATGATACCAAATATCAACAACTCCGCAACAAGAAAAACACGTGGCGAATAAAAGATCCATCAGATGCGGCAGAGAATCGGGTGATTCCGCTATTTCAGGAGTTGTATGAGCAATAAAATATCAAGTTCATAACGAAACAATGAGAACCACAACCTTTCGTAGCATACAAATTTAAGGTGCTTGTACCGTATCAATTGAAACAAATCTACTTATTTTCAGGTTTTACATATTCTGCAGTCATATCTCCAGAAGTACATAGAACAGTGGGTGTAAAGACACCCACTGATTATTTATTTTGACAATAATATCCAAAAACATAAATTTCAGCATAGCATAGCGATCTCGGCATCAGATGTTATAAGCCTTTGACGAAGGCTCGTTGCAGGGTGCGCAGCCGTAGACCAGCAAATTAACGCTCAAATCAGCCCTGGAGCCAACATCAACTATCTAAATGCTATAGATATTGTCATCCTGGCACCTAAGCAGCTGTAGTCAATTGACCTATCTCACTTTAAAGCAACACTGCTTGATCAGCACACAAGCTGCTACTCCACATAGTTAACGGTCAATACGTTGTTCTCAAATGCTTTATAACCCATACCATCACTTCTTACACATGCTGTTATCCTAAGTGTCCGCTGACCACACTGCATTGTCGCAAATATGAAGTGTACCAAACGGTAATGCGTCATCACCTTACTTACTCCGCAAGACGTTAACCCCGCGTCACTGTTTCCCTGCCTTACTATCCCCCAGCATCTTCTTCCCCCCACACTTACCCCGACTCTCCACCATTATCGCATGAGTAACTGGAGGCTTTTATCGCAGACCTTTGATGCTTATCCGAATTAGGTTAGGTTAAGTTAGGTTAGATTAGTTTACAACTCTTATAGATCCTCTTTTCAAAGCGTAATGCAGTCAAGTGAGCAGAAACTAAGAAAAGCCGTCCGGCAGTCAGTGAAAAAAGGCGGGGAGACGGGGTATGCGTGGAGGTAGAGTTATGCCGGGGGAAAACAGCTGCGACGAACGCACGGGCTGGAGTGCTGGCTGTGGTTCAACAGCGGTATGGCGTAGGGAGTTGCTTACCGAAAATTGTGATTAGGTTAGAC